GAACACCTTTCAGTATTTAAACCATGTGAAATTTATATGGTGATATAAAAAGGAACACATCTTTTAGTATATACAAAAATGCTTACAAATTTCTCATTTAAAAAATATAGTGAGTAGGTGTGACCTACACTGAGTATAGCTACTACAGAGCCCCCATGTGATATGTTAGTGGGTAAAGCTACTACAGAATCTCATCTGACCTGTAAGTGGGTATAGCTAGAACAGAACCTCATCTGACCTGTAAGTGGGTATAGCTACAACAGAACCTCATCTGACCTGTAAGTGGCTATAGCTACTACAGAACCTCATCTGACCTGTAAGTGGCTATAGCTACTACAGAACCTCATCTGACCTGTAAGTGGCTATAGCTACTACAGAGCCTACATGTGACATTCAGTGGTAGGTTGGTCCTATAGTTATGGAATACACTGAATTGCACTTGAGGTAGATATTTTGTTGTAGTATTCAATTGAAAATATTACTTAGAAATTCAAAGAATACAACCTAATAAATACTCAGAGAGACACAAAGATAAAGACATGTTTATTATTCCATATGTTAAGCAAAACATTTACAAGTGCCTTTCTTCCCTAAAGCCATTACAGCATGAAACGAGTCGCCCAAATCAGCCAGGAAAAACAATGACTAAACAGAGTTTAAGTCTCTAATAAGAACTAGATTAACACATGGTTGAAGAAATGTCTGTAATTATAAGATAAGAGTAAAGTGTGATGTTTGGGATGCTGTACAAAATATAGATGGAACCCCCAGCTGTCATGTGCAGGGATACTGGTCTCTTAACTGTAAAGTTGTGAGTGGGCTATGTGTGATTATAGATGTGACACTACACTTTAATATAGGGTACACCACACTATACTATACTATAGGGTACACCACACTATACTATAAGCACCACTTAATAATCTTCTTTTTAGAGAAACATGTGAAATACAGTTCTATATAAATGATAAAAAAGAGTTTCTTGAAGAGTTTCTCATTTATATATTTGAATATATAAAAAATGTCTACAAATTTCTCATTTCGAAAACAATGTATAGGAAAGCACAAGAAAAGTAAAAGAAAATTTTATTAAAGTAACAAGCAATTGGAAAAATTATATCCTGTATTTAAAATAGGTCTAGCAAAATTATAGCATTTCTAATACAAACATATAATCATCTAATTAAAAATTGCAACATCTAGGCCTACCTGTACTTGTTTGTGTTGTAGCTGCCATGACTGGAGGAATCAGAGTTATTGGTAGAGTTAGAAAGGCTTTAAAGGATGTGGACCTCTGTTGACAAAATATGTTTATAATATAGCAGAAGAGTTGAGATTTGGAGGTTTTCCTTTTGCTGAAACTAAGTCACAGCTTATTTTCAAACACTGTCAACCACTGTATTCAGACTAAAATTCTTATAGAATCTTTATTCCAAAAAAAAAAAAAAGCATTCACACAGTTACCTTTATTTCCAATTAAATAAAATAATAATACTGTACTGGTAGACTGTATATTTACTAAATTTGTATATGTTTTACTAAATACACATATTCTTGGCAGGCTGGTTGTCCATATTACACATTCGTATGCCAAAAAAAATATTTCCATGTCATGTTATGTCACTTCTAATATCATTTTCTCTCTGTCAAAGTGACAGTTTTAAAAAAAAGTTAATTTAATTATACCACTTTCATACCTTGGGTCTGTTTCTGTGGCCCACGTTAACTAAGGTGCCATATTTGTGGGAAGCGTGGTCAAGAGGCCAAGTGCGCTTGAACTTGGCTTGGCTTGGCTACCTAGAAGGGGGCTCGAGATTCGACACCCAACTCAGGCAGAGTTGTGTTTACTGAACGCCTAAAGGCAGCACAGAAAACCAACTCCTAGATACCCCTTCCCCCACACTGGTCCACAAATGAGATTGGACCAAAAGAACTCTGAGCATGCTATAAGCATGAAAGTAGCGCTATATAAAAGCTATAATAATAATAATAATATGTGGCTAGCACAACAATCAACTGCCTTTACTTTCCCCAACTAATGTTAGTAGAGTAAGACTGGTATACTGAGTGGCATACACACATGCTTAAAAAATGTTTCTCTTTATACTGAAGTACTTTTTAGCAAGTAAAATTACTAGGATCTAAGAGGCAACACTTCATTCTTCACTAGGAAAATAGTGCTTGTAAAAGCTATCCCTGCACAGTAATGTTGATATAAGTGTAAAGGAAGAGAAAATTTCATTATCAAAATAAAAGCAATATGCTTTCCCTCTTAAATTAAATGATCTAAATGTCTAATTTTAAAATTATACTGACATTATTGTTTTGGACATGGCATGAGTGATGGTGGGAAGGGTATGAAATCTGGACCATTTAAAGCATATTATATGTAATTACTAATAAGCTTTGGTTTAGTCAAATTACTAGGCTAGCTAATGACCAGCTCCCCACCCCCCACCCCCACTTTCCTTTTTTTTTGTCAGGCTTCATATTTATGATACGGGTATATACAATTTATACATCTATTATTGTAGCACATAAAAATCTAGACTCTCATTTTTTATATAATGATAAACAAAAGCAATTAGATCTAATTTTTTTTGTCTTATTTAATATTTTTGTTTAAATTTAGAACTAAGGCTTGTCACTGTATTTTTATTATTTGTGTATGATCAGTTAACAGTATAATCCAATATAAGACAAAATCTAGTTCTGGTGAGAAATACCCAGCATTGAAATTACTGTGAAGGCCATACACAGTTATTAGATCTACTACCGGTTGCGATGTCATCGCCTTTCTTTGAAGACATTTAGATCTATGTTCTCTCAGCAAAATTTGACTAATCTACAGATCTATCGCGATCTAGCTAAGAAAATTAATTATCACAAAATGGAACCGAGTACCTTTTCCACCAAATGAAATAAACACTTTTGAATATGATAAACACCTCCTAAACGAATCCGTTTTATTATGTGTACAGTACTGTACACGGATTGAAGCTTTTGTATAGGTCTTGCCATAGTGAAGGTGCGCTACTCTAAATAGCTTGCTGAATAGCATGTAGAAAAAATAGATATGATATTGATCATGATGAGATCATAACTATTGAAATATATAGGTCTGTGATGTATGTCTCTAGATATAAATCTTATCTTATATAATACAGACGTTACTTCAAAAAAAGAAGATGATTACGTCCTACGCGTCATGCATTTAGTCATGCATATTAACCAATGACTTAAATTCTGCCAAGTCACTGGTTTTTCTGGCTAGCTCAGGCAACCCATTCCATGCTCTAATAGCACTAGGGAAGAAGGAGTATTTGGACTATTCCAAGGATTCCCCGACTTTTGTAGCCATTACTTCACCTATTCTACACAGTCTGTGCTGAACCTTTGGGGCACCACACATAATTTGTCGACCGTCTCTTCCATTCCTTTTTTTTTTTTTTTTTTTTTGCCTTGAATAAAATCTCAATGATAGGCATGTCCGTTAGCGTTGTCTTCCCATCGCTAGTCACGCGGCTTTTTTTTCCCTGGCGAAAGGTCTTTGCGAGCCATTGTTAAGTTACATTATTTAATTAATAATTATTCAGAAAATATTAATGCAATGAACACCAGTAAACATAATAAAATGTTAAAGGACAGCTCGTTGTTATTAGGTCTACCATTGATATTAATTAATTAATCGAAGACATTTTTTTTTTAAGTGAAGGATATGTCACCTGAACAAGGGCTAATTTATCCCCCCCCCCAAAAAAAAAACGTACCCGGGACACGTCATTTCTATCATTTCTTGATACTTACACATAACGGGCATTGTTGTTAATTAGCCGAATTTTGTTATAATTATAAATATCAAGACATTCAATTCTAAGAATTGACTAGTGACATGAGACTTATCACGAAATTTGCCACTTTTACCCCATTTAACATAACATGCTTTAAAAATTACTTTTATTGATAAGGATATCCTGGCCTCGAAAGTTAATTAAAAATCATTGGGTTCCTGGATAAGTACAAACTGACTTTATAGTGACTTATCTAAAAATTAAAAAAAAATAGGCTACCTTCTGCATGTGAAGTAGATTAGGGATTGCTAGACTATCTTGTATGTAGACAAGGATTGTTCAACTTTCTGTCAAGTAGACAAGGGATAGCTAGACTATTTGCGTCGAAGGTCACGTGTTCAGGCCCCTCTGTAACGATTGGTCTCGGTTAATCTTCCTGATCACTCAATGCCTCTTGGCACAGAAGCTGGTGAAAGATTTTATAGTAGCAAAAAAAAAAAAAAAGTTGTATTGCAACAAATAAAATATCCTTTTGTTCACTGTGTATTTCTTTCACATTTTAAGACTGCTTCCTATATGGTTTTGGTTCTTTTCTATGCAACAACAGAGAAGCATGTGCAGAAATGAACTATTTCAGATCTTGTCAGAAAACTGGGGGTGTATATGTTGCCTAGATACTGGCATTCATGCCGTACACTGTTGGTAACATTAAAAAATGTTTCAGGCATTTTCAAATGTTTATAACAAATGTTCAATAGCAAACCAGCACCCATTTTGACAGGAAATACACTGCTGTGTGTATAAATGAACCTACATTTACGTTTTGCTAAAGCTTGAAAAGAAAATAATAATAAAGGGAGTTTGTGATGCAAACTTGAAGGTGACCCCTGTGGGTCCATTGTAACTCACAGTACAATACCATACTTTACAAACTGTCTTCAAGATTATTTTATTCAAGTTATAAATATGCTTTTTGTAGAAATCTGTGTTTTTTTATTACCCCACTACATGTTTATGGTAGAAACTTTGAACCACAAAATTCCATCTGGACAATTTATGCTAAGTTAAAGGATTGCTTTTAAACAAGTACAATTTTGAAATGAAATCCATACCTCTTGCACTTGACTACACTAGCTAGGATGTAAACAGAAATTTATCTTTAACCTTGTCAAGTTATCAGTATTAATAACACACAGACAACAAGGAAATAGAAAATCAACAATATAAAGTTTATTGGACAATGTTTGATCAATGCCTGCAGACACAATAACAGATATGTTTCTCAGAATGGCTTTGTTCACTAATTTCAAGGCTGTCATTAGATCACAGCAATATTTATTGCCTAATCAAACAAAACACAATAATTCCCCTGGCAATAGTCTACAGGTTTAAGACCAATTAACTAAGACTCATGCATGGCTTTAACACAACATAAAAAATACTATCACAAAATAATGCAATCGCAGAATTCAACAAGAGGACTGCATACTTCCGAGTTAAACAAACAAAATTAAGTATCATTACAATTAGAGCCAGAAGTAATATGTGTCCAACTTTGAAAGTAAGTAAACAAAAAAAAAATCTAGGTCCACAACATGCAACTTTGTACCTACCCTGTACTTAGGGCTAACTATGGCATGGTCTTAGTATTGCACTAAAAGCAATCTCTTTCCAGGAGAAGAACTGGACTTTTATCTTTAATCAATAGAAGTTTAACCTAGCAACAAAGTTTAGTTTTAGTAAGAGTTGAAAAAATGATATATTCTTCCTAGCACAGAACATATAACCTCTTTATCTATAACGGTAATGATATCTGACATAAAAGGATTGAGGATTATCCTGCTAACTATTCTTAAATGGAAGAGGGTTTAGTTTATAAAAAGTAAATACATTTATTTTTTGCTTTGGCAATATTCTGTACACGATTTATTTAGTTAAAATCTATAATTGTGAACTTTGCAGAAAGAAATAAAGAACAATGCAACCTGAGTCACACATACATTATTGCATAGACACTATTTTGCCAGGGCTTATATTTCAAAGTATTGAGTCCCATAAATCTTTGCATTTGAACCTAAGCTGTTCTAAATTTAAACCAACTAAAGGGACAATTTAAAAAAAAGTGTAAGCTAATAAAATATCACATTGAATGCAGTTTAACACAACCACCCTACAAGTTCTTGGTATACAAAGGGAACAATCCATTCTCAAACAAAAGTATCAGCATAAAGACTATGGCAGTTAACAACTCTTGTTTTGCCTTATTTTACATATAAAAACAGATCCAATTACAGCAGTTGTGTTGAACAAGTTCAATACTGCATTTATCAGACATGAAAAAAAAATAAAAATAAATGAACCAAGCAAAGCTTCAATACTTCTGACTTATCTTTCAGCATACCACAACCACAGTGCTCTTACTAGAAACTGCTTCAGGCACAGGGCTGCTACCTAATCAAACACAGGTGGCCTCGTAGTATTACACATCTTTTTGTGCAGTGCACAATTGATAAAACTGAATGCACACCTTATTATTTTTTTACATATTACAATTATTAAAGTATTTGCACTAGAGATGTACAACTTAAAAAAAAAAAAAAAAATGAAACAAAACTAAATGTTCTCTAGTATTTAAAAAAAAAAAAAAAAGTCCAACAGGAAGCAAAATAAATGAACACCATCTTACACTTGTGTAAATGTATAATAGAGATCAACCAGTTGCACTTACTAGAACTAAGGCTGCTTCAGACAACTGGTTGGATCATTCTCAACATGGTAATGTACAGTTGGTTAAAAAAAAAATATATAAATAAACAGCACATTTTAAAAAACACTTTCTCCATCCATTGTTGTACATCAGACTTAGCTTTCTCTCCACTAGACAACCAGTGTGACTGTTTCAATACATTCATTTGCTGCCTAAGTCTTTCAAGTTGTCAGTGGAAACTTATCAAGCAAGAATATAGTCAGCTGACAGCATTAATATCCATAGAATTCAATAACCAAGTACACTGTCTCTCACAATTTAGCAACATCCTTTCTCCATCCCACAGGGAGACCGTGGCTTAAACTATGATTTGACTTCTACTCTTTGCTGAAATGGAACAATATTATTAGAACATTAGAGTTGGAAACTTCATATCATGAATGAAAATGATAATGGCAACCAATGAAATTTAATATCCACTTACAGGTCCATCATTACGCCGTCTATCATCATAATCCCAATTTCTTCTTCCCTGACTACCAGCACTTCCCCTTGTGTTGCCTAGAAAAAACACATTTCATAAAATATATTTAATGACTGACAATGTATAACATACCTCAGACAGAGCTATTTCTATTAGCCAAAGAGAATGGTAAAAAGTACCGAAAGATGTGCTAAGGGGATTTTTCTATTAAGATTTTCAAATCACTGTTCATGTTTTTAATCAAGTGTCAGGCTCAATGCAAGCATTATTATTTTTAAATTTTACTTCAAACCAGAAAACTATTACGTAAGATATAACAGAAAATATCATAGACAAGTTGACGGAGTACTACAAACTGAAAAATTTTAATTTCAGTATTGGGAGAAAAAAGCAGCGGTTCTCAACCTTTTAAGCTTGGCAACCCCTCTTTACAATCCCCCCCCCCCCCCCCCCTGCACACACAGCAATAGAAGAAAAGACAAAATACAATTGATATTTTTGATGGTCTTAGTCGACCCCTGGCAAACGTCAATCGACCCCCCTCAAGGGGTCGCGACCCACAGGTTGAGAACCCCTGCCCTAAAGCTATGATTCTAAAACAAACCATTTATTAATTTTTTTAAATACTCTGAATACAATGTTGATGTATTGTATATTACTTTTACTGATGTTAAGAAATAACTATACTTTGCTCAGGGTTAGTAGCACTTTTCCATGACAAAATTTTAGGAGATTTTATTTTTTAAGGATGAAACTTATGATGAATATATCTATACACATAGATAAATAGATATATATATATGCGTCCCACCTGTTTGTGTGACACATTGTAAAACATACAAAAAACTTTACAATTATTAAATTGTTACTTGATTTTTAGAGATAATAAATATCTATTTCGCGAACTTTTCACGGCTGTGTGCAAATTATCTTCACTGAATCTACCGTAAATCTAGACCCTAGATATAAGTCACTAAAATTTGCGGGCTTTTCACGACTGTGTATGAATTATCTTCACTAGAATCTGGTGATTTAGCGTAAATATAGAGTAATCTAGAGATCATTAAATTGACTAAAATGTAGTTTTCAGGTTAGGTGCAAATTATCATCACTAGATCTAAATCCAGATACTATTTCTAGCTAGATTATTTACGGACTCTTTCCACGCGAAGTCACTCTTACTGTTACAAGAAGAAGATTTAGGTGAGAGGGCCCAGAAGGGTGTAGCCTACACATTAGACTAGATCTAGTGCGTCTTCAGTCGCAACAATGAAAGGAAACAACCAATTCTACGCTGCCTACAGGTGAAATGCTTGCTTGAGCCAAGGCCATCTTCAACCATGAGGTCGCACTTCACAAGTGGGTGAAAGGCGGTGTAAACGCGTCACTGGTCAGCTCATTAACACAGCCAGCTCCTAACGTCATATCAAAGAAATAAGCAAAATTATATTTAAAAAAATATTGGGTAAAAATTTTAGAATTCTGGCAATTTTTAGGAGATTTTAAGAGAGCTACGAACCCTGTTTGCTGTTACAGTTCTGTCAATAAAAATTCCCAAAGGCCCCTGAAGGTCTTAGAAATATTGCAGTACCGGTATTAAGTTTTTAGCAAATGGCTTGATTTACTAATTGTCTAGATTCTTTTTAATAAATAGACTTACCAACATAATAACCTCCATCTCTATTTCTATAACCACTGCCTTCTCTATTAAAAGAACCACCATCACGATTGTATGAGCCACCTTCTCTAGAATATGATCCGCCTTCTCTGCTGTAAGAACCACCATCCCTGTTGAATCCACCACCACCACATCTGCCACGTCCACCACGCCAAGCCCCTCGAACATTGCCACCTCTCCAGTTGTGACGTCCTCTATAGTTACGACGAAAGTTTTCAGAAATACCAAAAGTTTCACTATTTAGCTTACGCTCTTCTCTCCAAGAATGTCTTTGCCTATAGAAACAAGATGAATTAAGGTAACTCAACATATACCTAGAACTACATGCAGAAGTTCTAAATAAATTAAATATTGAAAAAAAAACAAAAAAAAAACTAAGTACCTTTACTTATCAATAATGTTACTTTCTATAGCCACTTACCCTTTGTTTCTCTCAGTAGATTCACAACTGATATTGTCAAAGAAGGATTTCTTCTGGTCATAAAATACTGGTTCCTCTTCCTCCTCTTCTCCTTCATCTTCCTCTACTTCAGGTTCTTCCTCTCCCTTGTCTCCATTCACTGACTTGTCACCTACAAACCATATAATACTTCTATTTAGCGGTAGAAAATTTTAGAACATTATGTTCTGAATCTGTTCATGAACAGGTGCACCATGAATGTTTGTTGCTTTAACTGGTCTTAGAACAACTATAAACAAGTGCATATTAAACTGCCATGTGGGACACTCTTTAATCCACTCATCTTGATTTGCCTACCAGGTACAAGAAACAATTGTGCAAAATTTTAACTTGATCCAAAACATGTGAGAAATACTGTGTAAAAAAAATGTACCAGACAAGCAGCCAGAGTTGATATAAGCTTGTTAAAAAGGGACAAAAATAGTTTTTTTCCATTAAAAAATTTGAACTTTTGTTGAAGAAACACCATATTGGGATTTATGGTTGGAAAAATGATAATGCAGAAATGTTAGGAAAACCCCATCATTGGAATCTGAAATTTTTAAAAATAAATCCACAAAATTTCTTGTAAAAAAAAAAATTCACTTACTTAAAGATAGATTTTTCAACTCTTTCTCTATATCATCTTTTAAAAACTGTGCATTGCTAGTCTCAAAATCAAACTCTGTATCAAACTTTAAGGGCTCATTGGATCTGCCACCTCTCGGATGACCTCTAGGTGCTCCCCTTGGACCACCTCGAGAAGGACCCCTTGCCTGACCAGAAAGATCTGAAATAAAAGTAAGCAAGCAAAACGATATATATGTTGTAAGCAAGGAGAAAGAATGTCTCTTTTGTTCCATAAGTACTATATGACAAACCACTTGCTCTGAATGGAGAGAGAACTAAAACCCACCAAGAACCCACTTGAAATAATTTAATGAGAAAAAAAAAAATATATATGCACAAGAAAAGGGGAAGTCAAGTGAATCTGTATGCAAACACGATAAGAACAGCCATTTTGAAGCAATGAGTGTTCTAAAGCAGCATTATTGGTAACAACTGAGTGAAAGCATGACTTGCTTTAGTCTAATGCAATTTATGTGATGAATGGTACTTGACATGAAAGATTGTTTGACTACTAACAGGGTTCATTATACTTTTATAAAATAAATTCCAGATAGACTATATCAGACTTCAAATTATTCAGAGCTAAACTATTTTCTGCCTGCTGTGACAGCTCATA